TGGCTGCTTTTTCTTGTGTGAATTTTAATACCTTGTATATAGGTAATTATATTCCTATGTGCTTTCACCACGTCAAGGCAAATATACATTTGCTTTGTCTTTTTTGGAGGCCGTTCAATTTTGCATTGTTTGTTATTATTTAAAATACGTTGTAAAATTATTCCACCCCTATTCTACAGGGATGATGAAAGATCAAATAAAATTGTAGAAATTAGTAAGCAATGAAATGACTGCACTTTACAGATTAGCATGGTTGTTTCCCAGGGATTTTGTTTCTTTTTTTGGAAGATGTTCTTGAATAAGTTAAGACTTACTTCTAGTAGATTTCATTTAAGAATTAACATCTTTATAATCTAACAGCCTAGATAAGCCACATTGTTTAGAATATACTGTACAGTTAATGTCTGGATTCCTCCCCTCTCTCTCTGCAGCTTTTCTTCTTCAGTTTGTAATATTTTCATATTCTGCATATTAATTCCTTTCCTAGTGGCCTGGGGGAAGGGGGAGGGGGACCCCAAAAACCTCAAACCTTTGGAATTCTAAGTCGATTCTTAAAACTAGAATCTTGGGTTAGTGTGACAATTGGCTAGCTGTTAATCAGAACTTTCTAACCTCTTGTTTTGTCTGCTGGCTAATACATTTTCCTACTTTGCTATGTACATGCTTGCTCATAAAAATCAATAAAAAAGATTGGAAAGTTCATTGCTGCTGCTCTGGTACTTTGTGTTTGTTATGAATAACAATGTTTGTTCAGACAAATCTTAGAATAATTGCAAATTTGAGATGCAGCCTCACTTCAACTAGAGAAGGTACTTCAGGGAATTATACGGCAGCATCTTACAAAAACTGAGGAAATTAAAAAAACTTATTTTACTGACAGTCTGAAACTTTAGTTTGGTCCAGAGCGGACTCTTTTAGAGTTTTCTTTTAGAGAGATTCATCAAAGCCCTCTATATGTTTGTCTCATCCAATTGCTGATGCGAGGAGCTAAACCTTAAATGTTGCCATGTTCACAGGCTTATGAAAGTCTGTAGATCTCATAAGCTAGAATCTTCAGTTCTTTCTCAAAGTTTAGATAGCCTAAAAGGTGTTACTGGTGAGGTACCTTGAAGAGGAGTCTACTGTGGAATATTGAATACACAAAATCACATTTGTCTCGGGAAGTAGCCTGAATTGAAAATAGTTGGAATGTGGTTGGCAGCAGGAGGGAGTATTGTGTATGCTTGTCCTATTCTTATTCTTTGCTATGTAGCTGTTCATGGCTGCCACTGCTGGAAGCAAGATGCTGACCTGGATCAATCTTTGGCCTGATCTGGTATGAATGAAAAGAGGAGATGTCTCACTCGAGGTGTTCTTGCTTTCTCTCTGAGATCAGTAGTTTCATATGACTAGGAAGAAAAAACAGGCATAAAGATCTGAACTGCTGATACTGAAGTAATCACCCCTGCTTATGCCTTTCAGTAGTTCCCAGAGATCTACCAAACAGGACAAACTTGTTTGTAAGGCTTCATGTGATTCATTGATAAAGTGCATCTTTGTGGCTGACACTGTTAACTCTTAGGTTGTGGCCTATAACAATTCTGCATTTAATCACTTTAAAGGAATTAATTCTTAAAATATTATTTCTTGCTGCTTTTTGTTGGGTCCCAAACCCCTAGGGATTACTTAGTTTTCAACTGTAAGAGTTTTACTAAGGAAAAATTCTGGTTTTGTTATTGCCTTCTGATTTGGCAGACAAAACCATTCATCTTGGAGGTTGTGCTGCTTTGGTTGGGATCACCACTGACATTTTCTTTCAGCAGCAGCAAGCTGCTGATACCATGAAACAGAATTTAAGTTCATCATAGCTGCTCCAAGGTCAACCTAGTTTCTACCAGATGATCTTCACTGGAAGCCTAAAGAACAGTTACACTTCATCTTTCATGGGTGACTTCCTTTTGATTAATCTGGATTTGTCTTGTTCTGTTCAAGGTTCTTGGAGAAGACAAGGGTATTACTCCATATGCAGTCTTGTGTCCTGCAGGCTGATAAAGAAGACCTTAGGTTTTATATTGTCAAGGCAGTAATCACTTTCTTCCTCAAAAATTGGGAATAGGTTTTGGTCAATAATTGTTACTGCTTGGAAGATCCTTAGGTCAGAGCAATTAATTATCTATTCCTGATTTCCTTCCATCACTACCCTGCAAAGTCTTCTGTATAGTTAACTCTTCCCTTGGGCATAGTCACAGCTTGATCAAATTTAGCATATTCTCATATTTATTTCATGAGGTTGTGTGAAATAACTTCCACGTGCCACCTTCCTGGAACATGCCCACAGCTGAAGTGTGTTGGCAAAGATCCCATGTTCTGTTAGGCTGGGTAATGAGAGGAGTTGGTTGCCTGTGGAAGTTCTCTGATGTGGAAATGTGACAGTCAACCTATTATCCTGAGGGGAAGAGTTTGGTGTTGAAATCCTGGTTCTGAATCTCAGTTGTTGCTGAAATACAACTGCTTATTTAGAAATAATGGCAGGATATCAAGTTTTTAATGCATTTGATCATGTGAAAAATGGCATAAACTCTTAATCTCAATGTTATTTTTCGTTCTAAAAGTGGTGTCTCCTTTTGCAGTATGCTGATACAGAGGTTGTTGATTCAGAAGGAAGGCTACCTGCTAAATCAGCAGGGTATTTGCCGTATCTTGTGTTCAGTGCAGCTAGACCAGAGCATCTTGATGCTGTGTGACAGCAGCACAGATTACAGTATGAAATCGGAAGATTACAGACTATATCTCTTTAACGTGAATCTATTGTGGTTGCAGGTCTGCATGAAGGACACAAATGAATAAGGGAAAGTAGGGGAAAAACCCTCTTATTGCAGACCTTTTTTTTTTTTTCTGATTGTGGTGCATTCTATATAAGTATGTAAGGTTTAAAAGCACTAGCAAGGCTTCATGGTGTATCTTCAAAATACATCAAAATTATGTTTGCTCTCAGGAGATGTGCACTAAGGCACAGGCTTGTGACCAAACATACGCTTGCAGCTGGGATGAAGTTAGGTATTTATTTTAATATCTGGAATGTTGTATAGAAACTAGCTGTGTTTCTGCTCTGTATATGTATATATATATATATATTTAAATCTTGCTTTTTTTCTATACAATTACAGTATAGTCTGTTTAACAAATATTTGAGATATTAATGCTAGACCAGGTAATTGAAATTTGGTGTGCCAACTAGAAATTCAAATTACTTGTCTTTTTTGTATGCTGACTAAACAACAATTTCTGTATTTTTTATGTTTAAAAGGTTAAAAAAAAAGAGAAATGTTCCAGTTAAACATGGATATATTAAAATTATTTTTAGGTAGTCCCTAGGTCACTGATTTGCAACTGTTAACACACAGCATAACAAGTTATGTCTTAAACTTCATTCCTGTAGTAAACTGAGCATGAACAATACATATATGTATTTTAAGACTTTGTGATATATCAAGGTCCATACGGACCTGTTAGTCTCCTTGTGTGGAACTCACTGCAAGATGAGTTTTACATTGTGAACACCTTCCCTGCTTACTAGAACTTCTGTCCAGCACTAGGCATAACACTTAGGAAGAAAACATGTATGAACAATTTATGACACATGCTTTCTACTCATATGTTCTTGTGACAGTTAGAATGGGCTTTTGGAAGAAATCCACTGTTGTCCTTTTTGGAAGAGTGTGTGTCACTGGCATTATGTTGGATTTTATAAAAATAAATCTCTAAAAATAGGATTGGTGATTTTTAAGATCAAAGGGTAAGCACCTTTATCAAACAAGAAATACAGAAATGTTCAGGAGAGATTTATTCTCTGTGTGTATAATCCTTTAATGATAACATGCATTACAAATTCATCAGAAAAAGTATGAACTATTCCTTTCATTTCAAAGGCAGCTATTTCTCCAGAATTCTCATAAGCCATGAGAACCTGGGTTGATCTATAGACTGTAAATTTTCTATTGAAAACTGATAAATAGTGTCTCAAATTATTAGATTAGTAAGTATAGCAAAGATTAGGGATTTCAGTCACATTTATGAGTTTACAAACTCTCTT